TTATCCAGTGTATCGTTATCCTCTCCATTATCCAGATCATCCAGGTTCTGCAGTGCCATTATTAATTCATCCTTTTTCATCTTCCAGGCTCCTTTTATCTTCCTTGCCCTGCACATACTCTTCAAAGTAGCCACATCACGCTTATTGTATGGTATTAGCATATCTGTCAAGTCCTTGATGCTGTCATCAAGTTCATCGGATTCGCCTTTGATGTTGTTAGTGGCGGATTCATAGTCTTGAAGGTAAATTCGTCAGGCTTCATCCCTTTGATCTTAACCATCTTATCCCTGGAGCCATTAATTGGTAAGCAAAGGCCACAGTCTTCAAAGGACTTGGGTATTAGTTCAGGCTTTTCCTTGCAAATCCATTCTACTGCTTGCACAACTAGGAAAGTAAGTATGACCCTCTTCTTACTGTGATTCCAGGTGTGGATTTGCTCCCTGTATTGCTCTCAGTCCTTGTCATACTCTTCAAAAAGAAGGTCCTTGAAGGTGCGGTTGATGTGGGTATCTAACAGCTGCAGGAACAGTGTCAGACCCCCAGGGATAATCGCCTTCTAGATGCCTAGGGTGGCTAGTCATTCTAGGATCACAGGAGTCTTATGGAAGTTGACGGCATCCATGATAAGGAAGGCTTTGTTTCTAAGTGCTGGGAGAATAGGCTGCAGTTCTTCGTCGATCCACTTCATCATCAGGGTCTTGTTATTATAAGCAGTATCATTAAATTCAATGGTAATATCCTTATGGTAGGAGTCAAGTTCATCTGTATACATGGGCTTTGGTTAGCTAAGTCCAAAAAAGGATATTGAACCTCTAAAACCCCTGAAAAATCCATCTTATTGGCCTTATCCAGAGCACTACCCTGTACCATAATGGTTAAAAAACACCATACCTTTTATGATCTTTTGCTTAGATATATCTGCAGTGGCCTTGAAGATCAACTTCAGCTTCAATCACCATACTCCATCTGTAAAGATATATAGGATAATAGTGGCCTGCCTTTTGCTCCACCCACTGCAGTTGGTCTTTGCCACAACAGTCCTAGCATCAACAAAGTCATAGGTCATACCATCCAGGAACTCAAACGGTACAGGGGTTTCATCCATGTTGATGATATGGCATGCCTGGAAGCCAGGGATCAATCGCAGGGGGGCTGCTGTGCCAGCTATTTGAAGCTGTATTATGTGTGCTGACGGTGGTGGTATGGCTGGTGCCAGGCCATTAGGTGGTGGATCAGGTGACGGATTGTCAAGTTGGTTAAGCATAAGATAGTCTAGGTGGTCTTTGGGCCTAGATATCGGGTCATCCAGGTCGCCAAGGTCTGCAAGGTAGGCTGGATTCTGGATATCTTGCTCATAACATTTATGGCAGGTCTTGTGGATGAATTTGAGGAAGTTATGTGCAATGGAAAGATATTCTTCTGGCACCTTCTATGATTGTTTCATGATCCTGTAAATCATGATGCCATACCGCCTCATAAAGCCATGAAACCAGCCTACAGAGTACTTAAATTTGATATCAGAAGAACCATTATGCTTGTGAAAAAGAAGCTTAGCATTCCACTTAAACCAGCCAATCCAAATAATCTTACCAGCTGCCCTCTACTTAATGAAAAGATTAAAGAGCTTATGCTCCAAGGCAGCCCACCTAGCCCTGAATGGATAGACCAGCCCTAGGACGATCCTTTACTTAGCATGCCACCAGTTCTGTATTGTTGTTCTTGGTATATCAAAGTGTTCTTTGGCTTCATCATAGGTAGGCCGTCAGAAGCCATTAGGTATGCCAGGATACCATTCGCCATCAAGTATTGTTATGCTGGGCATGTTGCTGCGGATGTGGTTGTTATGGTTGTTCTCTGTCACAGGCACTATGTTGAAGAATAGGTAATCCAGAACCTTTATCTTGAACATGCGGGTCCGGAAGACCTTGGTCTTCTTCTTCGGTGGTGGTGGGTTGTATGCGCGCTTGTTGTAGCGGTCGGCTATGCCGGTGCAAGGCCGGCCCCTCTTTTTGCGTGCAGTGGGCAGTGAATCGGCTGGATCTGGTGTTGAAGATGTGGGTGTTGAAGATGTGGATGTTGAAGAAAAGGAAGTGTTGGCTGGGTTCAAGGGTGTTGAAGACGGTGTTGGCTCTGGTTCGACGGCTGGCATGGCCTGCCCAGCGGTCCGTATCAGTGTCAGGGCAGGTGGCACAGTCTCCGTTATGGTCAAATCGAAGAATTGGAGTGGGTTAGCTGGCAAGGTCCATGGCAATAGCCCTGGTGTATAGGTGGTTGGTGACGCATTTGTTGGCCATATCTGCGGCACTGGCAACAGCAGAGGGCCGGCCAGGTAAAAGGACCCTACCGGTATGGGCCTGTTGGAGGGTTTTGGCAGGAGCTTTCAAGGTCTGGGAGTTAAGAAACATGACGGGAAAGAAGAAGTCATTTTGTCAGTAATTACCATACAAATCCAGGCTTTGGTAGACAGGATGATTCTCACGATGTGAAGCCGAAGAACAGGTTTCAAATGCGCGCGGGCGCACGTTGCACACGCTCCATCACGTGCCCTGGCCGGTAATCTTTTCTTTTTCGAAGTTCGAAGCTATCACGAACGCGGAGGTGACAAAATAGTGGTATTTGGAGGTTCGAAGTCGCTTAGGTCAAGGCCAAAGATGGAAAGCGGTGAAGGTAAAAATACTGGGTCGGCTGGGGTGGTAAGCCAGTCAAATGGCATCAAAGTGGTTGAAAAGACCCCCTGGAGTGGTGCGGTGGTTTGACTGGCCAGATTGACTGGGTGGCTTTTTCCAGGGTAGCTGCGACCTATAGAAAGTGGGCTTGGCAAGCCTGGTTCAAATACCACTTGAATGAGTAGAGGCGGTATGTAACCACGGATTGATAGGGTGTTTGCGACGGGCGGCTAAAGGGATCCTCGGGACCGACGGGCGATTAGGACGGATCAAGGGAACATTGTATCTAGTACATAGCCTTCCATAAAAGAGATGAAAGAAGCGCTGAACCCTCAGAGGGAGAAGAAGCTCTGCAGTCCTTTTTGGAAACCGACCTTAGAAAGATTATCAGCTGAACTTCAGTGAAGCTGAGGGGAATTCTATCCTTGTGGAACCCTTGTTGTTTGTTCATCAATTCTTCATTGCATCTTCTGAGATAGCAACCTTGTTGACTTGCTCTCGTGCACTGCACTTGGTGATCCTGTCCCTGATTGCTGCGAGGAGCTCTGTGGTGGTTTGGATGCGACCTGCGACAAGCAACCACCTTCTTCTTCAATTGACTTGCAACTGCAAAGGCATCGTGTGTTATCCCCTGTTTGATCATTCCATCTCCCTGAACGATTTGATCGTCCGACACTGTCCGGATCATCGTTACAGCTCTGCAGTTTAATCTCGCAGTGTTTGCACACCTTGTCGTTGTCATCCCCGCTCCACCTTACTTCTCACCTAGGTGTGGCGCCGGTGTCACACTTGTAGAATCCACGCCAGCCATGCTAATCAAGCCTATAAGGCCATTATTCGGCCCTAGCTTAACTACCTAAAGCTTCTAGGCGTGGAGGCCATTCCAAGCATAGGTATAATATAGATAGATGAAACTGGTATTGTCGCTGGTATTAGAGATAATGGTCTGGTCATTGGCTCTAAGAAAAGAAAGAAATTCCAGAAAAAGAAGAAAGAAGACTGAATCTAGACCTTGATTATTAAGTATATCTCTGCTGACGGCTGGTATTTAAACCCAGTTGTCATTTTAAAGGGTAGAAGCCTTTAATAACAGTAATATCTACATAAATTATAGCTATTTAAGGACTAGAAGTAAAAACCACTTAAAACAGCTGGTCTAAGAATAATACTACCATCGCCTGGCTTTATAATATCTTTCTTCCAGAGACTTAGCCAGCCACCCTCTTAGAAAAGCGTCTCCTTATTTTAGATGGCTATAGCAGTCATACCACCAAAGAATTTATATGGCTGGCCTTTTCAAATAATATATAGTTATTATTTCCGCCAGCCTATATCCCCCCTGCTCTCCAGCCCCTAGATTTATCTATTTTCAGTCCTCTAAAGGCCGAGTATAGAGCCAGGTATAATAAGATGGTTTCTGGCTTTGATAAAGGTACTATAGTTAAAAAGTAAGCCCTTCCAGAATCCTACTGTCAAGCTAGGGTCTTAGAATAACCAAATCTAATATTAAAGCCAGTTAGTCTAAGAAAGCCCCTATGGAAAACTATATTATCGTAGCTATCTAATTGACGAATTTATGGGCAGTTAAAGTTTGTGGTGTGGTACGGGGTCCGACTCAGGGGCTGTTCCAAAGGCAGGTGACTTACACACTCACACTCTGATCAGATTTGGTTGATGCGGCTTCTCTGCCGGCGCTGATGATGAACCTCGCGGTTAACAGTATGAGCAAGGTGGTCGAAACCGCGGATAAGATAATTGAGCAAGAGCGCAAAGCTCTCATCATGGACTTTGTCATTGCCATCCTGTTGAGGCACCTGGCCGCCCCAGGCCGCCCGCACAGGCCAGTTGCCCTGGGCTTCAGCCCACCACCTATTTAGCTCTCCTCTATTGCCGGCGAGCTTGCAAACATAGGCTTGCTCATCTACGAGCTCATTGACGATCCGGATAATGCTCTCATGACCGTGTTCGGCTTTTTTCTTGGCGGTGGTGCCTCCCGCCGGCCGTTCAAGGAGGCGGCTGCGGCAAGGAGGGGTCTGCCTTCAACCGAGGTAGAGAAGCTGGGGCCGAAAATCAAGAAGGATTTGGATGTCATTTTCAGTGTTCGGGCAGCTTGCCTCAATAGTAGCGTGTATGTGGATCTTCATGCTCGACGGATTGGAATGGAAGTTCATGTCAAGAAATCACTACTAGTACTAATAGTTTCATTTATCAACTCAAGAGCCATTGGGAGTCACATTCAATCCAGGCGACATGCCGTGCATGATAACATGGCAATCATCTTCAGCGATCTCAGAAAGACACCGGAAAATTCCTTGGTCAAGACCCAAAAAGAATCATCACCTACAGAATTCAAACCTGTGCTCCCGAGGGAATTGCCTGGCAGCTACTGTTAGGTAGCAGGGCAATGCGTTAACCACTCCGCCAAAGTGGTTGATGGGTTGTGTTGTGGATTGATGATTATGCTGAGAATGCACCACGTTGTGTGGGGCAGCGCAGATGGGAAGTGAAAACCTCGAGACCTTTTAGTGTGAAGTTGATAGCACTACCGCAACAATGCTTGCCCATCCAATATGTAATGCTGAAGAATCCTGCTTCCGAGTTGGTGGCTTGCAAAGACCGCCATACCATTTTGGGCAATTTGACCCCGAACTCTGGTGATTGGTGAAATGGCATGTCGTGATTCGGCGTCGATATTGGGGGATTGCACATGGACATCTCATCACGTACATCTTCGGAGTGTAACCGGATCAACATTACCCTTTCCATAGTACCTATTTAACCCTTACCCAGTCGTGCCCGAGATAACACCAACACCCAGCCTGAGTGAACTTGAAGCCGAAATGGCCATGGCGCAGCCGGCCCACCTCCGTCGGAACGGCATGCTGCAGTCGTGTGAGCAGTGCCGCAAGACAAAAGTCAAATGCGACCATTCCACTCCGAAATGTGGCCGCTGTTTATCGAGGAACCTGGGGTGCGTCTATGAGGCCGCGCCCATGACACGGCGCTTTCGAGCAGCCCGGTTTGACCAGTCCGAATCAGGGCGTGTGCGTAATACCAGAGCACGAGAGGCCAAGTCACAGCAGCTGCTCCCAGGGTAGGTGCATGTGTCCTACCAACCATGTTGTCTTCATTCCCGGAAGGCTGTTGCTAACGTAAGTCCGGGCAACAGGTCGAGTTTGCAACCTTCACCGCATGCACCCACCCCAACCCCCCTGATTTCCCCAAGTCTCAATGCTGGCCAAGCCATCGAGATTACCACCCCGCCCGTACAGACTGGCGGCTTCGTCGGCCCTGGCAGCTACAGGACCCTGGCAGCCGATGATGGAAACATGCAGCGTGACTTCGACGGTTCCGGCACTACAGGTTCTCCCGGGACTACCATTCACACAGTGGACCGCAAGAGATTGGACCTTGGAATGCAGGTCATCGACTTTATCCTCGAACATTCAGTGTTGCTACAGAACCTGATGCACCACATTTATGACGTAATCCGGATGCCCATCGTCCCACACAAGGTCATGCTGCCGGCAGTGGAGATGCTGTCGGCCTCCATTGGGATTCCGGAGATGAATGATGTGGATGCAAAGCTGCGGACCGTAGTCCGCATCTTCCAGAGCTCGTATCAGCCTATCCACGGCGGCATGCTGGCGACGGCGGATCAGGTGTGTCATTCTGTCACTGGTGAGAATCTGCGATGGGAGACAATTGGAAACATTCTGGCCATGGCTAGTTTGTCCCTTCTCCATATTCGTCCTCACGATTTTGCTCTCTTCGACCCCGAGAGGCGGAGCAAGCAAAGTCTTGTGCAGCCATTCCACAAAATCACCGACACACTGATATCTTTGACGAGCGTTTCACCCATTGTGAACGAGCTGGGTGTATGTCTCAAGTACAATCAGCTTTTACTTGCTCTTTATCGATTTGGTGACTCAAGTATGTGTTTCGTTTAGAAATACTTTCTGTCCAATGGTACCCTAAGCTGATCATCTAATACAACAGGCCAACATCTTTACTCTATTTTCATGGAACTTACATCAACAATCTACTCCACAGGCATGCATCAAGACACAGCCGGCGGCCCAACCGAATATCCCGGCTTCATGCACCAGTGGCGACGGCGATGTTTCACCGCCGTGTATTCGATGGACAAGACAATAGCCACGAGGCTTGGACGCCCCCCGCTGATCCACCGCAACTACTGCGTCTTGGATGCTCCGCTCGATTTTGATGATGATTCCTTGACCGGGCCGTCACTGGAACATGAGCTGCTGAAGCTCAATGGTCATGGGTGGAACACAGACGGGCGTCGTCGAACCACTACCTATATGCGCCTTCGTTATCTGTTGGCGACGGTTCGCGAGAAGATTTTGGAGCTGTATCTGGGTGTCAACAGTGGGGGTGCTGATAGTCAGGGGAAGGTACAGTGAGTTGTTGAAGCATGTGGATATGATAAGACTTGAAGGCGATTGAGCTGACGTGTTGGGTTTCCAGGATCCTACTAGAACAGCTCCAGTCAATATGGAATACTTGTCCTGACTGTGTTAAGTACTCTCCCGCGGTCTGGGGAAGTTCCGAGAAACCTCATGACATTTGGTTTCTGCTGCTGTTCTATCTTGATTACTTGTACTCCATATTCCTCTTGTTTCGCTTCAATGCTCGGGAAGGCCAATCTCAAGGGAGCATCGAGTTGCTCTTATCCGCTGCCAAGGATGTCTTGTCTGTCGTTTTGGTATTTAACGAACAACGCGAGATAATGCGGGAAGTTCGAAGTGACTTCTCAGCAGTGGTCAGTTGTTGGCTGCTCCGTCTTGCTGCCAACACAACACCCTTGACTAATTTTAACATGCAGTTTTTACCCTACGGCCTACCATGCGCCGATATCCTCGCAGTCGAGCTCCTGCACCGTCCGTCCTCCTTTGTACTTCATGCTGGCCCGACTCCTGGGCCCGATCTTGGTGGTCGGCCACGCCTGTTGCGTGCCGAAGTCATCCGAGCGTTAACCGTTTATGTCTCCTGTTTGAGCTGGATGACAGGCAAAGGAGGAAACAGTCTTGAGTTCAGCAGAGACGTACAGGGCCGGCTTACACAAATCCTCGATCAGATCATCGACACACCAACCAGCGCAAACATAAACAGCAGCGCGCTGGCCGAGATGGATCCGGGTATCCATGGGAGCGAGTGCCTCGAGCCGCCGACGGCAAATTTGAATCAATTTCTGTTCGATTGGGATACCAGCATGTACCTGGATTCGCAGTTGGATTTATTTTCGCAATCTCTCATGTAGACTGTTTGAAAAGGTGCAATTCTTGCCGTCTTGGGCCGAAACCCTGATACCTCATTGGTCGATACCTTTATTCAACAATCAGACCACCCTCACCTGATGCATCATTCGCGGAAATTCAGTCACATCACCCTTCTGAGAGAGACCGTAGCGCTCTCCTGTTGCTTCACCAAAAAACGGCAGCAAAGGCACATTCAGGAACACTACAGAACACAGTCAGCTGCAGCGAACAGCACAGTAAGCCACCACTTCATTCTTCAACCTCCACCTTCCCAGAGATCCATAGTAGTCTTACTCGACCGCAGGATTCACTTTGGGAGCCCTTAGCCAACAGTATCAAACACCATGCCTGCAAACTCAGAAACCACACTGCCACTCTCTAGCAAAGGGACCTACTTCGCTCCTGCTCCAACTGACATCCGTGGTCCATGCCCCATGCTTAACAGTCTCGCAAATCACGGCTACATCCCACGCGACGGCCGCAACGTGTGCGCGGCGGAGATCACCTCGGCACTGCACGATATCATCGGCGTCTCCACCCCAGTCGGCGCAGTCTTCACTTACCCCATCTTCCTTGAGCACAAAGACCTACCCTCCTCCCCATTCGGTTCCTCTTCCTACTGGCAAGCAACATGGAACTACCTACGCCACCCGTCCATCATCTTCTTCCGCTGGGGCATGCGCCGCCCGGGCCAACGGGACCCCGCCACCGGCAAGCGCTGTCTCGACCTCGACCAGCTCGCCAGGCCCGGCATCATCGAGCACGACATCTCGCTGACCAGGCGGGACAGGGCGGCCGGTGACTGCGTCACGCTGCAGCCAGACTTAGCACAGGCCTTGCTCGATTCCTCGTCGGACGAAGGGGAAACAATCACTATGCAGGATCTGGCGGGATTTAGGAAGCTGAGGATCGCGACGCAGAGGGGGGAGAATCCGGGAGCGGTATATGGACGGCTGCAGCACAGCTTTGCGTGCATGGAGATTGCCTTATTTCTGGGTACGTTTGGGGATGGAGCGAAGGTGAGAGGGGATTTTTCGAGGGCCTTCTTTCAGGAGGAGAGGTTGCCATTCCGAGAAGGATGGGACTGGAAGAATAGGAAGGGGTGGTGGAGCAGGAGGCTCGGCTTTTGGAAGCTTGCCACGACGTCGAGGAGGGTAAGAAGGCTGCTTAGGGGGGCTATTTGAGAGTAGGAATTCGGCATCCTATATGCCGAGGAATCAAGGCAAGTTGCTTTGATCGTAAGGTGGCAAAACCCCAACAAAATGCAAGTCGACTACGGGCCCCAGGCCAAGAGTACACCATTCCTTTGCCTTTACGGAAATCAATTTCACGCAACAGACTCAAGGCATATAACGGAGTGGAGGGTCGTCCCTTATGCTGCTTCGGGTTTTCAGTAGATCACCTAGGGCGTTTATTCTCTCCAGCTGTCATGAATACAATACCTGCTGTTGCGAGGTCGACTTTAGCACCACTTAACTCAAGGATTGCGTGCTGTGTAGTGACGTTATAATAAGGTAGACGGAGAGATTCTAATAAAGTACGGCTGTATTGTACCTGGCATAGGACAAGTGCTACTACCCCTCTTTCGTGTGCCCAAAATACCCGATTGGAGCTTTTGGAGCCTGCCGATTAATTGAAGGAGATGACATTCGATCGTAATAGAAGATCCTCCACTCTGATGCCCGGCTCGATTCATAAACTCCGGAAGAAGGTCCTATGACAGATTTATGTGACGTCATTAACTTATTATTTCCGGCCCAGATCGGCCCGGGCCCTTTCTTCTTAATTACTCCCCGCCTAAAGTTGAGCTGGTATATGATGGAGGAGAACACCCTGCCGTTTCGTCTTTCCGGGAGGAATAGGTTTTGCCCCGTCGCAAGACCTTCCCTATTCTAGCCATACAAACAGCGCTATTCTTGGACCAAGGTACTGATCTAGCAACGCTCAGGCAGGTTGATTGGTAGAGAAGCATCTGGTCCATATATATAGTAGAGTTGTCTACATTACCGTACCTATGAGGTCGTAAGGTACTACCTACCGCTTCCACAACCCAGATCAGGTACAAAGCCTGTATTGGACGAGACAGCGGTGTCAATCAGACTGAACCTAGGGCTAGCTAAGTATACCCGGTATAGATGACAATGATATC